ACGACTACTGACAGGCAGGATGGGGGGGTGGGTGCTTTCGGGCGGCGCCGGGCTGCCCGCGGGTCGACGGGCGGCCGCCTGGGTGAGCCGCTCTGCAGTTTTTCGATTGTTCGGGGCTTCCCGGGTTTGAGAAGTCGCGTGGTAGGTCGGCCGCCGGTGTGGCACGACCGTGTATTCTGAGCGTTGGGACTCGGGGGCCGGCCAGCCGGCGAGATGTATATCTCCGTGTAACATTGGTGCGGTTGTGGCTGCCGGGCGCCTCCGTGTTTGCCACCGCAGCCTCCCAGCGACCCCGAGCGTCGCCGGGGTCAGTTTCTCATCCCCTCAACCATGAATCTCTCCCCTGGGAGGTGATTGCTCCCAGCTGCTGCGCGTTTCCATCGGTCCCATCTGTGCAGAGGGGCCGGGTGTCGATCTCTTAGTCTTTGTTGTCGAGCAGTGACAAATATCCGCCCTTGCCCTGCGCGTTTAAACGCGAGGGTGGGGACGTGGCTGGTTGCTTAGCCCCGCGCAATGAGCTGCGAGGGGGCCCCAACATGTCCTTCCCTATGCACACCCCTCCCCGGATGCACGGGTCTACCCAGGGATTCCCTCGGCTTCGGGTGATTGCCGCCGCTAGCATCCCCTCACTGTGTCCGCATTTCTCCTGGCTTCCGCGTTCGTCCTTCCACTGGGTCTGTTGGGCACCCAATGCCCACCCCGGCACCCGGCGGGATACGCCGCAAGAGCCACGGCCTCGGTCTGGATTGGGGCCAGGGTAATAGAGTGGACTTTCCAGCAAGAGTGCTACGGACTTGCGAGAACCCCCTCTGATGGTCTCTGCGCCTTCCCCATTGCGGCCCCTGCCCAGCCAACTTCCCACCAAGTGCACTGGTGCACCAGTACTGCGCACCTGCTGAAATGGAACTGCAATTTGTTGGGAGAATACCACGCCATTACGGCTTGACTGTACGATCGTTCTTCCTTTGGGAATGCAGCGGGGGGCAAAAGATGTCAAAATGGGACGCCGTACAATCCCTCACGAAACGTAAACGTGACTAACGACAACACAAACACAATGACCACCGTCACGAGGAACACAACGACCACCATTACGAGGCCCACAATGCTTCAATCATGGCGAGCTCTCAACAAGTCTTGATGGTCGCCACCCCACAGCGCATCGCCGCCCATCATGTCTCATGCACATCACCATGCACAATCAAACCTCCCTTGTTCTTCACAAGACGACCCGCAAGACGATCACCACAAAACGACCGACTGTCCACCCGACGATCCTCTTGACATCGCCTCCGACCCAAGAGAACCCCAGGCGGGACACACTGCTCCAAGGCGGACGAATCACCAGAGCGGTGAGTGGTAAGAACGACAGCCAGCACAGTTATGCATGTGCCGGACAGGCGAATGACAATTGCCATGATGGCCCATAACCACTTCGTCGATGAACCATTGGACGGTGCCCACACAGTTGCAGGCGGAAACGAAGACTACGCCACTAGGTGAGGCGTCCCGAAGAGGGGAACGCCCGCTTTAGGTGAGGAACAACTAGTCACGGCGGTGCTGTATTTTTAGAGAGTCCGGACAGATTCTTATGTGCGAAAACTGTATAATCTATCATACAATGCGGGGATTGTTGGCGCCTCAAACAATGTCAATTGGACGACGACACGCACAGTGCTTGTTCCTGAAACATTTTGCACGTTATGCTATTAACAATTTTTCATCGTTCTCCTATACCATTGGCATTCCTATTGTTGAACTCGCTGTTGGTCATTGTGCTACATCAGCACAATGATGGGCTCGTGGCAAAAGGCCCCTTGGAAAAAGGCAGAATTCTTAGGGAACAGCTGGCTTGTTCATCACAAAAGTGATGCGATCAGTGCCACTAGGAGAAACAGGCCAGATGACACAGTTCTGACACAATCTGCTTAAAATCCAACTGTGTACTTTCTGCAAATGTGGTCCCAAAGCAGCCAGTACACACATTGGCACAATTTCATCCGTGTACCCTCAAACAACTGTATAGACTACATGGCTTCCTGGGATACACGGTCAAAGCTTTGTCAATGTGTGTACTAACTGTGTAGTTTTGGGATCACATTTGCCGACAGTACACATTTGGATTTTGAGCAGACCATGTCAGGACAGTGTCATCTGGCTTGTTCTTTTACTAGTGTGCTGGATAGATTACCGAAAATGTATGCCATGTTGCAACTGCTGAATGGCAACAGAATAGGCCAGAAGGGGCAATCATTCTGCTTTGAAAATGGCTCTCATTCATGGCAGAATTTTGGGCAGAACATGCAGTTTCAAGAGCGCCACAATGGTGGGGTGCAGTTGGGCAGCAATGCTCAACCGGTAAAGATGATTAGGTGAGCTGGCGAATGCACGAATGTTGTCCCGTACTTTGGGTCTCGCTTCCACGGTTGCCATCATATGTCATGCGCCATCGCGTACGATGTTGTACGCTAACCTTGGACGCCGAGTCGCGGGGCGCCTCAGAGGCACACGCACGGCGGTGGCAAGTTGCGGCGAGGCGCTCGAATATGTGTGCGAGGGCGTGGCTGCCAAGACTCGATAGCGCTGGTGATGATGGCGGGATCGCATGGGCTATGCTGCGTTGTTGCATTGCAGCGGTTTGCCTTCTTGTGCATGGAATTTGCAAGCCTGCGAGGAGCTGCGATGAGCCCAAGCGACGCTGGAATCCCTGGCAAGCTGGATTGCTAGGCGCGGCCCACATCCAAAGGTTTTCCAGTGATGGCGTGTGTGATCGAGGCCCTGAAGCCTGTGGCGGAGGCATGGAGGAGTAGGCGAGGGCACATCCTGGCGATCATGATGAAATTGATGCTGAACGATAGTGATTGTTTGATGAGACAACGACCTGTGAATCCATTGAGCTGGTTATAATCCAATGGCTGCAAAAGGATAGTGTATTTGATGGGGAAGCCGCGGGGGCAACTCTTGACAGTGATTTATGAGTGAATAGCACTGATACTAGGGTCAGTGGGAATCATTGGACGTGGGGGATGGCGGCAGGTAGTGGATCACAGCAATGATCACAGAAGCTAATGGGACAGGTAGAGGATGATCTAGGAGACTAGACAAGAGTGATCTAAATCCATGGAGAATATTCCAAGGATCCTTGGACAAGGGGGGCAGCCAGTCCGGGCTACAAATAGGGGGCATGCAGGGGGTTTGGAACAACCAACCACCGCGGGAGCTGACCTCAGGGCTGTTGTTTTGGACGAAAATGCAACATATACCTGGTTGACCGCAGAAATCTTGGAGCGTTTCCCTGCGTGTGAATGTCTAAGTACCATTCAAGACCAATCTCTTCAAGCGATAGACTTTGCGAATGTGCCAGTGCCCGAGAACGCAGGCACTGCCCCATTGTCGTATAGCATGCGGGGCATTGATTTACGACTTGTATAATTGATCGTGGCGTTGCATTGCGTTCGCCCAGTGATTCGGTGAGTTGCATGAGGGGTTGGTGAACAGTGGTCATGAGAAAACAAGTACCTGATGCCCTTGATTCATACAGGCATATGTCGCAGCTACAAAGGGACGCCAGTTTGGTGACGTGCTACGCCGATCATGGGCGGTTTGAGCCATCGTCATCACAGACACGGCATCGGCGACATTCAAATGCCAGAGATCGTTGGAGGGTCTTTGCAAACACTCCTGGATCGCTCATGCTGAAACACCAGAAATTAATCCCTAGATACAGCCGCGTATCACTGATCGCGGCATTACCCAGGTTGGAAAGGAGGGCTGTCGTCCACCCGATTGCCTCAGAAAACTTGTATCCTTAGTGGAACAGCGTAGTTATCCCTCAATCGAGTTGATAAGAGACGATGGACATCAATCCGCGAGCTGTGCTGTTGGCGAAGTGAGCCGTTGCCTTATTGCATATCAGTTTGTTGTGATGAATAGCAATCGCCGTCAAATCTAGGCTGACAAATGCTGAGCTGGTCGGTGGAGGCATTTTGGCTTCAATGTTCAGCCTTGTTTATTCACAAACACTGAATTGAAGTGCTTCGCTATGGCAGCAGCTGTGCGAAGAAGCGGGAAGTTTGGGTCCTCACATTAGTTAGGCAGCAGTAGCAGCTCATCAGCCCTAACGGGCAGCTGTACATGGAGGTTGCTTTAACGGTATGCACTTGTAAATGAGACATTGCCCCATCGCAATTGTACGTTAAGACGAAAACAGCAGGACAGACTAACAATTAGCATCCATCCTAATCTGATTCTCATGGACAGGAAGGGGCCACGGGCATGCCTCAATATTTTTTAATCAACTAAACAAGGGAAAAAGTGCATTCCTAGAAAAGAAACCGATATCCAACAACCCCGCCAGGTGATTGTGCAAATGCACTCTTTAGCTTTTAAAATGAACCAATTACATTCTCCTATTCGTAGAAGCAGGGCACTGTGCAAAACTACAACGCTATCAAAAGGGGTAGTAGCGGCGCAGTAAAGTGGCCCTTGGCCGCATCAAGGTTGTTGCCGATGCTTGGAAGCCACGTGTCCCAGATCTCACTCGCAGCCAGGAGCGCCATTATGTCGTCTAATGTCTCTTGTGAGAGACAGTGCTTCGATGCGTAATCTACGCCGCATTTTGCCTTCAGTTTTTTCTCTCAAGTCCCTTCCCCCTTATGCATGGAAAATGCAGTGAGCGCTCAATTGTTGCCGTGCTGGTCGGTGGCTCGATTACGCAATCGAGAGGCGGCGCCGTGGTTTTGGCAGACCCCGCGCAATATCTCTTGCTCTTATTTTCTCCCTTTTTACCCCTTTTTCTTCTTTTGTTGTCCCGTTTATTTCTTCTCCTTTTTCGCCCTTTATCTTCTCTTTTAATATCCTGGTACCATTATTTCTTCACAAAGGCACCACACAGCAACCCCCTGGATTGTTCTGGCGCAACTCCCACCGCCTTCTCCCGTGGCCCCCCTCGAAACGACTTGCGCCGGTCCCTCGCGGCCCCCCGCCCCACAGCCGCCGGCATGGAGGCCACGGTGGTGTGCGTGGACAATAGCGAATGGACGCGCAACGGCGACTACACGCCGGACCGCTTCCAGGCCCAGTCGGACGCCGTGAACTTTTTGGCGCACGCCAAGTCGCAGGCCAACCCGGAGAGCGCCGTGGGCGTGCTCACCATGGCCGGCAGGGCGCCGCGCATGATGGTCACGCCCACCTCCGATCTGAGCAAGGTGCTGAACTGCACCGCGCAGATAGAGATCGACGGGGACGCGGTGAACATGGGGGCCGCGGTGCAGATCGCCCATCTGGCGCTGAAGCACAGGCCGAACAAGAACCAGCGGCAGCGGATCGTGCTGTTTGCGGGGAGCCCCATCAGCGAGGAGAAGGTGGGTGGCATGATTGGGGAAGGGGGTGGCCGGGGCGGGCGTTGGGCGTTTCAAAGGTCGGCTTTTGTCGCCCGATCGCTTCGGGATGTTCAAGCCCTGCCTTGCGGTCTTTTCAGGCGGACTTGTTGCTGAAAGCTGTGGTCCAGTCAGGCGGCACCGCTGTTTTGTTGTGGGGATTAGGGTGCACAAGCTGCTGTGCCAGCTGGTTAGTCCACTCTACTTGGTACCATGGATGCCGCTTCACCACATTGTGTTTTGAGGCTCTTCTCCGTTTGAGTGGGTATGTGCCACGCCCAGCGTGGTCCCCATCCTTCCGTACATGGTGCAGGAGGGGCTTGTCGTTTCTTGTACCATCTGTTGGATTGTATTTGTAAGCCCATGGCGATCGCAGGCCTGTGCCTGAAAGGCATCTATGAAAGTTTTGTGGTGTCTGGTGTCTGGTGTAGTCTGGTGTGCGAGGTTCCTGTTGCACCAGCTTGCCCTCCTTTTGTGCGTTGTCGATGAGCTGACCAGATTGTTTTGGACACCTCTCTGGTTGGTGTTGCTACTCTGGCGCCCTGCGCCCTCTTGTGTGCCCACCCCTTGTTTTTGTCACCAAGTTCTTCCCAGAACGTACTTGGCCGAACAGCGTACAGCTTGGGTGATATGCAGTGTTACTTTGTGGTACATGATGTTGCCATTGTGACCATTCGTGAATGGATCACACACACCTTGAGGCAGCTGCTCAGCAACTCATGCAACTGGCTGGCCCACGCGTGGCCTCGTGTGGTTCCAATGGTCACACACCCATGGCACGGGTGTGAGCTCAGGTGGCAGTGTGCTGCCACCCAGATGGCTTGGGGTGCTCAAGTTCCCATGTCATGTTGACACCCAACATGCAGGGTGAAATCATGCTGATTGGTTAAAATGTGGCATCTGCTGCTTCCAGATTGCAGCATGGTGGTCACAGTAGGTGTTTGTGAAATGTAAAGACCTTGTACTGTGTGTTCAGTTGTAGCCATTTGTATGTGTGGCGCATGTGAATGCAATTGATAGCCATTTTCTCAGGACAGCCTGGCAAATCGAGAACAACTGCAACTCCTTCTTTCACTGAACAAGAGAGCCATGTGGCCATTTGCGATGGTGCCGACGCAGTATGGCTTGTAGCTGCATTGTCATATGCAAGGGCTGTGAAATTTGGACAAAATTGATTAATTCGTCCTTGTCCATCATCGCCTCATCCATGTGCCATGTTTTGTTTTTTATGGCTTGTCTGACAATTTGGACTTTGCAAGGGCTACACAATGTTGGTCTCAGTGAGGCTAGACCACCAGGCCAAGGCTTGCACTATGACAACTTGAGGAACTTTCTGCCAACAGCCCGTCTTGTGGACATGCAGGACGCCCTTGTCAAAATCGCCAAGAAGTTGAAGAAAAACAATGTGGCTGTGGACATTGTGAGCTTTGGCTGTGAGGCAGAGAATGCTGAGAAACTCCAAGCCTTCCACAGCGCCGTTACTAGCAGTGACAACAGCCACTACGTCTCCGTGCCTGCTGGCGCCATCCTCTCGGATGTGCTCATCAGCTCGCCAGTATTCCAGGGCGAGTCGGGTGCTGGGTACAGCGGGACTGGCGGCATGGAAAACGAATCCTACGAGTTTGGTGTCGATCCCAATCTGGACCCTGACTTGGCCATAGCGCTGAGAGTCTCTATGGAGGAGGAGCGCGCGAGGCAGAACGCTGCTGCAAGGGAGGCTGCTGCCCAGAGTGGGGAAGCTGGACCAAGTGGTGAAGAAAATCCGGCAACTGCGCCTGCGCCCGCAGCAGAGGCAAAGCAGGGTGCAAAGGCTGGTGAGGCCATGGAGGTTGACGATGAAGACCCGCTGCTCCAGGAGGCGCTGGCGATCTCAATGCAGGCGATCGGGGATGATGTGGCACAGGCGGGGAAGACAGGCCAGGCTGCAGTTGAGGGTGATGTGTCGATCACCGACGACGATGCCCAGCTGCAGATGGCTTTGCAGATGTCCATGGAGGGAGCCAGGCAGGGCCAGAAGGAGGAACTGGACCGGGCAAGTGTGCTGAGTGTGGCAGCCAGGCGGCCATAAGACACACTTGGGGACAGTTGCGTGCTTTGTGCAGAATGAGAGTTGCATGTTTGCTGTTGTGGTTGGACTCTTCCTGGCAGTTGTGCTGGTGTGGAGTTAAAAGTGTGTTGCGTTGCTGATACATGCACGGGTAGATTCACAGGATCTGAGTGGAGATGTGATGTCATCCTAAAGGGTGCCAATGAAGGGCACTGCACCACCTCTTTTCCCTGTAGGCAACTAACTGGCGCAATTCTTTGTTCACATGGTGCTTGCCGCACTATGTAGCTTTCAGCCACTCTTCTGCTGCATTGAGAGGCCACTGAAGTAACTGGATGCCACATGTAGCTAACTGGAAGAGGTGACAAGATTCAACCTTTTGTTGAGGACTATAGTATTTGAAGGGTGGTTGCCATATTCTGAAAAGGGGCAGGTACCTTCCCTGGCTAAACAATGACATATGGGCCTTGCGCCAATTCCTAGCAACATGCAAGGCATCGCAAAGCCCAAAATGGTGATCGTCTGAATCTGAATGCCAAGTATCAACGAAGCCCAAGTTTCATTGCTGCTGTTGATGATAGTACATGTAGTACGAATGCAAATGACCTCAGGTGATCTTGGTGTTCATTGCCTTGACTAGTCTCTGTTTCCAAACTGAAGATTGTTTACAAGGTGTAGTCCTCAAATCCAGGCCTTGAATGGAGCCAGTCCTGTCCAACTGTATCACACGCGAATGGAAGTTGGAGGATCCCCCAGTGTGGTACAGGAACAACTACCTGCTGCAACACTGTGTTTGGCCAGTGGGTATGGGCTGGGGCAGCTGTATGCCATAGATTGTGCTGTTGGTATCGCATGGAGCTGGGATCTCGATTGTGCTGTGGTGTTGGGTCAACCACCATGCATAGGTTGAGACAACCACCACACAGTCCAACCCAGTGCACCCCCATGCATTGGTTGCTACTGGCAGATCATGCCAAAATCGAAAGTCTGAGACGCTCGCTGGTGGATGATGTTGCCGTTTGTGTGCCTGTGCTGCAGGTGGTGAAGGACTCTGACTTTGTGAGTTCCGTCCTTTCTTCCCTCCCTGGTGTGGATCCTGAGGACCCAATGGTCAAGAGTGCTGTTGAGAACCTCCAGGGCTCGCGAAAAGACGAGGAGCAAGGGGAGGATGGCAAGGACAACGACTCAAAGGGCCAGAAGAGCACTAAGAAGGACAAGAAAGATGAAGGTCACAGTAGCTGATGGAAAGACGGTGTGTACATTAGGCTGCCACCGCATTTGAATCGACACATGGATGAAATTCCTTAGTTTGGGGATGGCTCCTGTGTTGGCTTGTGGCCTGTCATGGTGCTTGTTCGATTCCAGGACAACGACGTATGTAAGGAATGTATAAGGCTGTGTGATGTTGTGGGGCATCACTTCAGATCACCCAGTAGCCAGGGAGAGTTGAAACGGCTCTGCAAGTACCAATTAGATGGAGGCGCTGCGTGCCGGTACTCAGTCACGAACGCCGTGCAGTTGGACATGTGGCATATGGTCAGATAGACAAAAGGTAAACTCTACGGAACTGACCGAAACAGTCGACCGCGATAATATGGACCAATTACAACCCCCTATCCCACAAACATTTGTACACTCACCTGCGCCTCTACGACCCACAAGTTAACGCGGTGATGGGGTACTTTGGCACCTCAATAATCGATGGTGTACTGCATCGGGAAATTGGGATGGATTTACAGCAACGTTGATGGGCCTTGATGCAACGAGTTTGTTGCACTGGTTGTCAATGTTACTACAGTCATTGCGCATCAATTCTCCACTGGCATTTTTATCCCTTATGCCATTGAGGCTAACGGGGCATGAATTCAAACACACCACCAATCGCCATGCTCATCAAAATTTTGCCATTGTTGCCTATAAGACGGTGCATGAGCGTTGCCACAACATTGACAGGCAGCGCATCACCAGGCTCGTTGCAACAAGGCCCGTCAACGTTGCCAAAACTCCATCCCGATTTCTAGATGGGAAGAATGTCAGCAGGGTATCACAGCGCTTCAATGCTGTTTTTACGGATCCCAGTTTGATCCTTTTGCGGCATAGTAAGGGGGGGCCTTAGATTGTGCCCCCACGTGGGGTTTGATAAGGTGCACCTTATCAAACACAGCGTTGAACTCTGGAGCGAGGGGCATGCTAGATAGCGCGAGGCTTGCTGTTTGCTTCAATACGATACTTCGAGGTGCTAATTTTCTTCAATACGATACTATCTCTATTCCAAAAGCCTTGTCCGTTATCCAAATCCCGCAAACAGGGGGTCCAAACATGCGAGTCAAAAACTTTGATCAAAACAACTTTGGGACGCCGTATCGATAACTATCCGTAGAAACCTTCAGCATGGAAAACGGCACAGCCGCTCTTGAGATATATTAAGAGGAGCACAAACTCCACTTTCCCTTGTGTCGGAAACAAAGGGGAACATGGCCAGCTTGTGTCGCCCTTCGACGGAGATGGATCAAGCTGAGCTACTCCTAGGACAGATGTATGACTTGGTGGTTGGGTATTCACAAGAGATGCGGCTAGATTCCGAACAGAATCCGCGATGCAAATGTTGCTTTTCTGCCGCAGAGCCTAGAGCAGTGACAAGTACTGTGCGAATGTTGAGGCCAAAGGCCAAGAGGCAGCTTGTTCTGGGCAAAAGCATCAACCTGGTAGATGCGCAGAAGTCTGCAAAACCGCACATGGTGTTGCTAACCAAAACCATGGCGTGAATTATTGCCAACATGGCCCATAATTGAAAGCGAGAATTTTGAAACACGATTTAGCATAGTGGAAGAGATGGTCCACAAAGACTATGAAGCCGATGATGCCAAAACTCTTGAAAGGATATAACAATCCTCATTTGTTGTCTGCAACAATGTCCTTGAAGAACTTGGGGGAAATAGGTCGGAACACAGCTGGATAAGTTGAGCTCAAAAATGCAGGGAATTGAGCGCTGACGAAGATGCATAGGGGCGCTTTTGATAAGGTTGTGCAGGTCTTGCTGTATGATGATGTTTAATGTAATGACAACATTCCCGGTGTCATGGAAAAGGCGATTGCAATTGCAATTCCCAAGGTGGGCCGGGACTTGACATTGCCTGGATCTTTTAGGCCCATTTCACAGTTGTATATCATGGGGAAATTGATCGAACACGTGATGAATAGGAGGTTGACATACTGGCTTGAACATCATAAGAAATCATCAGCCCAGCAATTTGGTTTTAGAAAACATAACGGCATGGAAATTGCCCCTTGGCGCTTTGCGGAGGCTGCCACCATGGCCTTCAAAAGAGGTAGACAGATTAGTACCATTTTTTGCCTATGATAGCGTCTGGGGCACTAAGTTGCTTTTCCAAATGCAGAAGATTGTAGTACCAGCTGACATAACACGGTGGACAGCAAGCTTCCTTGGGGACTGCCAGGCTGACTTGAGACTGGGTGAAGGTATTGTGCAGCCGTGCACAGAGGGCAAAGCAAGGTTAGAATCTCACGGCAGGTCACCCACGGATATGCAGTGATTTGGTCCACTCTGGCCACACATTCACGCTTGTACATAACGTCCCGTCCATCTCCACACTCGTACATAATCCACATCATACCATACAGAACATCTGAGCGTATCATCACACGCTCCCTAACTACGCCGATCATGAAAACACTTAAATAGCATGGACGCAAAATGTCAGAATGTGAGGTAGTGGCTTGGTATCCGTCAACATGTGCCACTGTCTACAGTGGCCGTGATATCAAACAAGTATATAGTCCACGGCCCTATATAGGACTGTATATAGTCCACGGACCTATCCAAAAGGGTGCGAATTTATCATCAAGTCTTTGAGCCCTCACATTGTCATACAGCAACACTTGGTCACCGACATAGTATTGGAGACGGATCAACTTCTTTTTTGCGCGTGCATTGACTCTTGCTTTGAACTTTGCCATCCGTTGACAAAAAAAGTCCCACTCACGAGCCCCTGCATTCCAGGCAGCTAGCGGTGACAATATAGTGAGCACATGTTGTGTAGTACACATTGCCTCCAGAGACTCTCTCACCACAGACGGCCAGTCCTGAGTTCCTCTTCCTTCCAGAAGACGCCGTATCCTACCAATGAGGGTTTGATTGGTCCGCTCTAACATACCATTGGATTTACGGCTGTATGGGGCCGTCAAATCTATACCTCATGCTCTTTGCACCATGCCTTCAGTTTGAGTGAACAAAAATATGTCACATTGTCACTAACCATGGACTTAGGAGTGCCACACTGTCGTGTCCAATTTTCAAGCCCTTTAACGGCAGTCGCTACGCTTGAAGCTCTGCAAAGAATCGCCTCACACCGGCGAGTCACGCAATCAACGATCACCAACAAGAGGTAGCGAAAGTTTCCTTTCGATCGGCGAAGGGGCCCAATGAAATCAATTCCAATCAGTTGGCCAGGTGCTGATGGCTATGGTAAATGCCCTAGTTCATCACACGATCTGAGTGGCTGAGCATCTGACGTGGCTTGCAATATTGCACACGATGTTGTACCTCACGTAATGTTGTCGGAGCACCATGGCTGCTCAAATTCTGAAATGTCTTCAAGATGCCAAAATGTCGACGATGTGCCCTCCTCGAAACATATCCTGAATTGGAATTCAGTGCCCGGACAGGAACTGATCTTCCTTTTGGTCTTGATACCTGTGTTTTGACATCGTCTTTAGGCCATTTTGAAAGCAAGTCTGCTAACTTGTTTTCTTCACGTGGCACGAAACCTGAATTCAGGTTGTCCCCCAGCGCAAAATTTCCCACAGGGTAACCCAGCAAACGAAGTACACGCCCATCATCTTCTTGCACCCAATTGTCCGAGTTCTACAACTTCTTCCATGACGATTGTGAACCTGTGAAGACAATGAGCTTCTGGCCTTGTGTAATAAACACTGTCTATTTGATTGCCCACACAATGGCATCTAGTTCTCCCAAGAATGAGTCCAACACTTCCACTACGTAGAACGACGAGAACCCAACCAAACAGGAAGGGCTGGAGTAGAGGAAGCAAATAAGGCATCACCAAAGCCGCCACCAGTTTGAGACCAATCAGTGTATAAGTGATAGGCCGCGGGTACAACCCGAGTATCCAACTTGCGCGCAAACTCTGGATACCCGGATCCGGTTTTCCCAGCCCGTGTACCATCTCTAGCTGCAAGTCAATTCTGCAACATGATTCTGTCGTCTCTACTTCATTGAGAAGTATTTTCAAGGGTGTTTGCTGGAGAAAGTGCGTCATTGAACGCTGTTTTGGCCACGATTTGGGCAACCCAGTTTATGATGGAGGGGGTATGCCCCCCCGAGTTGTGCTGTGGAGCACGATGAGACGGAGCCAGGCGCCACTTGGATGTGTGATGGGGATGTGACACACGGGGCATTCAGTGGCTGTTGACCGAGTGGCGTGGGCTGTACCGGATTTAATTGCTGTGATACGGTGGAGTGACAGGAATATTCTGGGGAATCAAAAGATACTTCCCCACAAAGGAGGCATTGTGGGAAATATCGGATGCCTTGAGCGGATGTAAGCATGGAGGGACACGAAGAGCGTGAAAGGGGACGATGCACTGTTGAATTCAGCACGGCAGCTGTGACGTCTCTGTGTGGTTTCTCTGTGCCTTGCACGGCGCTCTAGTCATGCGTCTGCTGCCTAAGTCCCCTGGCTTTCCACGCAACGTGGCCCATGGCCTGGGCGCAATAGCGCTCGAACTTTTCGAAGGTCGCTGCGAATCTGGGCCGCTTTTCTTGCCGTTCAATACCAGAAGCTTCGGGGCGATCTTGTTGCGGCCAATGTCAGCCAGATTCGTCGCTACACAGCCTTGCTAACGCAGAAGGAGGCTCTGCTGCGTCATGCACCGCTGCATCATGAAAGAAGCTGATATGGCCTGTGAGTTTGACTGGTGGATTGAGTTCGCCGACCTTTGAGGAGCTGCTGCGACGGGTTGTGAAGCTCTGAGCGGAAGTTGCAAGCCTACGCAAAAGGATATTTGCGTGTTTTGGCCGGCGTTTTGTCATGCGCTGTCCGTTTGAGACGTCGCTTTGCTGCCTTTACTATATCTGGCCGTGGGCATTGCCGTGACAAGCACCTCTTCAGGCGAATTCTTGGTCGCTTGGTGCATCCTCGAGGGAGATGATGCTGAGGCTGTCGACGTGTGCCGCCTACCCAGAAAATCTGAAGGGTTAT